AGCCCCATGGGGACGAGCCAATAAAGTATGTATGTACATCTATACGAAGAAGTACTAGTTGAAACTTCCTTGATTTTGAATGATCTCAAACTACACCAACATTTGTATCGAAGATAAATACTTCGGTTAACTTTTAATCCTGGGTTAGCGTTAACCCAATTTCTGAACAACCCGGCCTTGATTACAACACAGAAGGTGGTTTTAGAAAACAATTTCAATTTATCCAATAAACCCAGGAATCCGATTTCAGTCCGTATAATAAACTGTTACTCTCATCTCATTTTTTAACCCAAGCGGTTTTGACAACAAAAAGTGGTGAAAAGGCTTCACCAAACTGTATACATGTACTCATAATTACTGACAACAAAACAGAAACATGCTTCAAGATCTCCTTATGAAACACTATTAATACCATTTAACTGATCCTTTCAATTTTTCCTAAGTGGACTTTAAGTTTATTTTTTATGATTGTATATGTTGTAAAGCACATTTGATCACATATATATGTTAATTTGCGCTATAAAAATATTAAATATTATATTTGCTATCATTATTTATTTTTCTTTTTTACAAGGGTACACTTCTCCAACATGAAATGGCAAAAATATGGTAATAAGACCAATTTTAACCTGACAAATACATGTGCTTTGTTTACATCATGCGTGTAATTTGGCCACCACTACATGTTAAAAAATATAGAATCTCGGCTTCCAGTGGTCATCAGAAATAGTTTGACCTTTCATTTTAAAGCTCTCAAAATGCTCTGGTTTACTAAATGCAAATCTATGTTAGCATTTTGAGGCGAAAAGTTTAAGGTACATTAACACACTTGCAAACAACCTAAACAAAAGGATACACATTCAACTGTCCAGCTCAAGGTAGCTTAATTAAGCTTTTGTCTTCCTTCTTTTGTCCCACCTCTTTCCACATCAAATAAAACAAATGAGTCCGATAGCTCTTTGGCATGACTTTTGTCAACACCAAAGATATTCCCCAAAGGAATAAACTGAGCTTTCAGGGTAAAAACGCCAGTGGCTTCGCCCATTTCTGAACGACACACATCAACATGAAGTTGTAATGTTTGCCATGCTTTTTTTCCATTTCTAGCATTCTCTAAGTTATACCCATAATAAATATGTTATGAAAAGTAGGCCATGTGATGGGCCTATTGCCTTGTTATAGTTCACATGCCAACAAAAAGCAGGACATGCAGCTTCTGATTGGAAGTATCATTTTCTCCACGTGTGAAAAATGCAATACATGCCATTTGATTGGCATTTATTTTGCACCTTTTCAGTAGGTTAAAATATGTATATATAATAAGATATGATATGATACACAAGACATGGGCCATGAGATATGAGATATAATATCAAACACCAGAATTAAGCTGCACTCGCAGATAAGCTGCAACCCAAATTTGACCACTCCAATTTTGGGGGGGAAAAATTTTCTGAAAAGAAATCAAAATAAATTAAAAGTGAAGTCTTGAGAACTATGCGCTACATGTACATTCATTGCTTCATTGAACGTAAACCTGTGTGAAGTCACTAACATTGACAACAGAGAATCCTCTAAACCCCAGTATCTATAATTTTAGCTCTGTAATACAGTACTATGGAAATCAGGTCTTTCACTTTAAAAATGTTTGATCTTTATTGGTATATTTCCACCAGTATTTTTATATTTCAATAGAATTAATTTTTGCGTACAACAACAAGAACAGTTTCCTTCATTCATACATAGTAGCTTAGTAGCCGGGCAAATCATTGATGAGGAGTTGGATTACTGGACAGAAGTACCTTTTTAAAGTGCCCCTAACCCCAAAAAATTTTTTTTGGCTAATATAAATTTCCTTTTTCTCCTGATCACCACTGCGAAAAAAATCATCGTTGTAGCTATTTTCGCTAATTTTCTATGAATTTTTAACGTTTGTAAATTTGCCCTTTTTCGTGTTCACAACCGAGGAATAGCGGAGAATGGAACGACTTGGCTTTTGACGTCACTTCGGGAATAACAATATTTTGTTTCTGAGAAGAATGTATGGGCACATGCGATAGTGTATGTCAAAATCGTTGCAGAATGCAAGGAAGATATGTTGTTGGAGGCTGTAGCAATACAGGATGCGTAGAATAGAATATTCCTCTTCATTCAATACCTCTATGTCGATGAAACTCTACCAGAAACAAGAAAAAGACCAAAGAAGTGGGCTGCTCTGTGCGAAGCTAAAGCCAGGGAGCCATTGAGGATTTCTTCAATCTCGGGTTCGCCGCTACTGTAAAAACGTAGAGATTTTCATGGCCTGTATATTCTTCTCTATCTCTAGTGGAAAGCTTGAAATTGTCAAGGTACTGCATAAAACATGAATTTGGGATAACCTGGAAGCCATCTGACTATTTCGAGCACAAACGATCCTCCAACGTGAGTCCCAGATGAAACTATATATAGGTGACGAAATCACACGGTAAATTAAACGCATTGCGTTTTGAAATAGAGACTTGTCTAAACGAATAGTAAACTAAACCTACGTTCTACAACGACACGAAGAAGATTGTTGACGCTTCGAACTGGCGAACTAGCTATGTATTTGTGGATTTTGATAAAAAATACACGCACGCCGGAGGTCGCCTGGGGGTCGCCTGTCATGTAATCTGGCCGTGTTTCTCAATGGCCATTCCGAATACAAACTTGTTTTGCTCTTTGAGTTTCGTCTTTGAGGAACGGAATACATCTAAATTACAACCTTAGAATGGATCAACCATTTATAAATATACGAGGAAAGTGAAACAAACGTTCAAGATACGACCTTATCGCTACCGACGGAGATTGCTGTGCTGAAAGAATGCGCTTGTCAGTCAACCGAAACGCAAACTAATAAGTCGAGGACTCCCAAGTTATTAGCATGCGTAAAATGGACATTTCATTCAAAATAACAGTGAAGTAAAAATGTATTAATTTAACTGAAAGTATACTAAACCTCTTTTCAAGATCTTGTCGAAGGATCTTCCATGATTTCACTAGTACGGAATAAGCAAATTTGCGTAGCTTGCGTTCGTACACAGTAATTGAATGTGCATATACTACGGTCGGTCGACAATAACGAAGCAAAAAGTTACCTCACCTTCGAATATTGTTTGCCAACATCTCTGCCTATCTCTTATGTTAAAACTATTTTTAATCATTGATCTGGAGAAGTACCCATGAGTGGAGTGCGACTGCATCGCATTTTAACTTGTATTTCGGGGGAAATTAATATTTGAATGTAAAAGTGTTTTGTCACTCCAAAATTTGCACGTTCCGTAAAGTCAAATTACCAACTCTTCATGTTCATTGACATCTTTATAACTCTTTAAGAGCTGTAAGCTTACTCTTCACTCATTGTTTGTACCTTTATAACCCAAATGGATTGGCAAATTGTCGATCCCGGCCTAAATATAATTACACAACGCAACGATCTCAACTGGCGATCCGCACTTCGAGATGGAAAAAAATATGTACTTCGCAGCCATCCAAATCGGAACTAGACTCCGAATTGTTCTTTCACTTAAAGTTCTTGTCCAGTTTTGATAAAACATGAATCACAAATAACCCGAAAATGTTTTGACTGCCCCCTAAGCTCAGTCAAAAGTCTCTTGAGTGTTTTAGCCAGGTTCCCGAAGTGACGTCACTAGTAGCCCGACCCAGATCCCACTTTGTGCGGTCGTGAAAATGGAAATTACATGTTTAAACGCCTGTAGAAACGCAGGGCTTTTATCAATCGAGATAATTTTTTCCCTGAAGTAATCAGGGAAACTAGTAGGTTTTATTAAATGAAAAAAATTTTGGGGGTTAGTGGCACTTAAAGCTTATCATTTGATCACAGTACAATACACAGCAAGGTTATTTCAGCAACTTTAAGAGAGTTGCAGAGGTTAATCATGTTGATGTTCAATACTTTTGTGTTGTTTCTATAAAGAAATCGTTTTCAAGCTTCATTATGCGATTCTTTTTCTTAATGGAAGAGGTACAATATTTATTGAAATTGCACCATCATTATTCTTGGAATACAAGCACATCATTTGGCCAAGTAACATTGCAATCCATAGAGCTGGACAACATATCAAATCAACGACTGCTCTGCCATCTTCTTCCCTCAAAAACTAGCCCACCCCTCCCAACTGCATTTGGACTGTCACAAGTCATAATTCTTATGCTGAAACACATTACGCAGAGCAAAACCATTTTAATCAAGCTTAAATCCCACCATAGTAGTCCATTTATTGCTTTAAGGAGCAATCTAAACATCCAAGTTCATTATGACAATCCTGGTCAAAAGTCTTGGGACATGCCCATACCCATACCCAACGTATGGTCTTTCTGTCCACCTTCCCCTCTTCAACCCCAACAAAATTCATGCAAAGTAGACCAACTATTCCACATTGCTTTTTGTGGGGGGGGGGGGGGGNCCAACATTGCTTTGGGGGGAGGGTGGTTCAGCAAATTGAATGACTTCCCACTTCAAAATAATGCATCACCAGTTGGCATTTTGACAATTGTCCCAAAGACTTTTGGCCAGGATTGTAAGTTGGTTTTCATATTCAATATTTAAGATACTTTTAAAACAGTGTATACCACAGAAAACTGAAATATCCCCCACAAAAAAAGCTGTTGACTGAATCAGACAAGTATTGCTTCTGATAAAATTATTCTTTGTTAATATAAGCATTAGGGGCGTAATATCACCGATTACTATTTTTAGAAAACAAGGCCATCTCAAAAAGGCTCCTCCTCCTCCCCCTACCCCTCCTCCTCTCAAGTTACATGTTCTGTGAGACGTTTACAGAAATGTAATAGCTCCCTAGAAGAAAATGACTAAATTAAAGTTATTGAAGAAACTTACCTGCTTCATGTGCAAGAAATACTACCCACTTGGAAGATGATCAGTTCCAAGTGCAGCCTACAGAGTAAGCACATAAATCCTTTTGGGGATTGGCTAAAACCTCAGCAGCTAAATCACTAACCTTGCAACTTTCCGCTGCTTGTTCAAACATAACCCAAGAAATTCTAACACTGAAATAACAGAAAATTAACAGTTAAAATAACTTGAGACTTCCACAGTCACAACACAGAAAAGATACTCATGCCTGATAGCCCTGGGCTATTGGGAATGGAAATCAGAATGAGGGGTTCAATCTTTTGCTTGCCATGTGGGCAAGTGATGTTTTTCAGGGAAAATGCCTCAAATGGATCAATCCTGCTACTGAGAAATTTTGGCAGCTTGTTAGGCTACTACATCACAGCCTGCTCAAAAGGTGAGTTCAAAAATGGGTTTCCATTCCACTCTGTATCTGTTTGTTACATATTTGTACAGTATAGTAAATACATTGTCCACCCAGCCATTTGATGCCATGCAAACAAGTTAATCACAGCTGCAGTAATTTAACTATCAACTATTTAGGAACCATGGAAAAATATGCACTGCTTTAATCTTTTTCAGTTATTCAAGCTGTGGCCAGCAACACTTAAATTAGGCTGTACAAATGTTGACTGCCTTGGTCGCTCATTGGGCCCAAGTTAAACTATTTAACAATTAGACCACTAGCCCACAAGGGCTATGGGTCAGCAGCCCATGAGGTGAAACCAAATGGGCTATTGACAAGCGGACTAATACAGGATTTGCATTAGTCCACTAGTTGGATGATACTAAACTCAATTAGACCATTTGCTACCCAGAACCCGTACCATAAATCTGCATCATTGTGTTGTCACCACAACAGCATGCACTGTTAAAAAGAATGCTCTGTGTTTGTACCTGGAATTATTTTTCTATTGAAAACATTTGTTGCATATATTCTGATGGGTTCAAATTGAAGAAAGTTTCTACTTTATATTAAACAATTAGATTATGACCTTGAGATTTCTATCATGTGATAGTTGACGATAGCGCAGCCAGAGTCAACTATTACGCATAGAAATCGGGAGAATAATCTAATAATTGTTGTAGTGTAAATCTACAAATCATTCAAAACTTTATCTAAATCCTCTTCACAGACACTTCCAAAATGCCGAGAAGCAGCCGTCATTTTGTTAACAAGGGCACAATTGCTACGCTTCTCACTGTCTATCAGAATAGATAGTGAGTAGCATAGCCAATCATAGAATGGCAGTCATGATAGGACGCTAGTAGATTTATACTAAAATGCAATAGAAATTGCAACCAATGTTGCCCAAACACCTTGCAGGTATTCCTTTTAAACCAGATGTTCAGGAGAGCGGTACTTTCTTGTTGTGTTACATGTACCTTCTACAGAAATAATAATAATAATAATAATAATAATAATAGTAATAATAATAATAATAATAACAATAATAATAGCAACAACAATTTGTTATTAGTAGTAATAGCATTAAAATTGGTAAAAAGAAAAGATACGAATTTACAAATATATAGATGCATACGTGTACAACACTATGTATCTGAGACAATTGAAAAATACATGTAAAATGATTAATATGACTAAAACGATTTCTCAGATAAATCTTGGTCTCCTTGCAAAAAGAATTAAAATCGGAACTGTTTCTGATATGAGAGAGAAGACCGTCAAAAAGCTTGGTGCCACTGTCCTAAGAGGTGTCTTTCTCCAGTGAAATGAGAGACAGGTGATCAAACGTCAAAGAGTTTTGAGTTTTGACAAAACCAGACCTTGATCTTAATCTTATTTGCAAAGGGTGTATTCCATCGACAAAGAATTCAAACATTGAGTTTAGTTTGTTGTTTTGTTGCTTTGTCCTCAGCACTTTTTGGTGGCCCTGCCAGGATACCATGAGTAAGTGGAGTTTGGAGGTTTGTTATTCCCATGGTTTTGCATCACCTTTGGATTTATTTATTCCAAGAATTATTCACATTGTGTTGCCACATGATCGCAGCTGACTTTGCAATCTTGGATTTGCTGTTTGGAACTTTGCCAAGGATTTATTATGGTCAAAATTTGGTATTTGCATAATATTTGGATATTTACTTGTCAATCTTGGATTTCATCTTTTACAACTTTTGCAAAGGATTTGTAGCAGGGTTATGACTTAAATCATACAGGAGCTTTCAAACATTATGTAAAACCCTGGGAGGTTTTTATTTGATGTATTTTCGCGTCACAGTTAAGCTCAGTGCATCATATTTTTATCAAGATAGGCTAAATTATGGTGTTCAGTGACTAAAAAATAAAGCAAAGGTTGCTTGCGAGTGTGGTAATTACTAACCCATTACTCCCATGTACTTCAACTCTGCAACATTTGACAACAGGAAGTGTATAATTATACCGAAAACCTATTATCTGGGAACAATGGGCTCATAGATATGTGCTGAACAATGACATCAAAGTAAGGAAAGTAGAAAGATATGAAGAAGAAACTTGCAAACAAACAAAAGAAACGTGACCAAACAAAGAAATGGTGACAAAAACACAACAATGCAGCTGTGCAACTTTAAAGCCTGCAAGTGATGTTACCATTTCAGCCCATTTTTTATGAAGATAAGCTAAAGTAGGGTAAGAAAGTACTCCAAGTATTTCTTCAACTATGTATTCTACAAGTTTTCTCAGGGTATTTTCAGGATGCTGATTTATTATTTGATATTTATTTTTGTTCCGTGGGGTGCCTGTACTTGCCAACCGCCAAGTGTATGATTTCTTATTCACAATAAACATTTGCTTAAATTGCTCGTTTGAAGTCTGATACATCAATTAATTCAATTAAGACCCACAAGCAAACTTTTCTGGATTGATGCTGAAGATAATGATCTCATAGTGAAAGGTCAGAATGTCAGGCGATTAGCTCAAGTGCCTAGTCTTCAAGATGCTCTCCAATTTTTTTGTTTTACATACCGAAGCTAGATTGCGATAAAAACTTAGATTATGGGATACTTTTAACCGGAAAAAGAGTTTTCACAGGTAAATAAATGTACCAGATTGACTTTCTGGCTCACAAAATTGACTTAAATTCTGATGTCACACAACATCATCAAAATGTATTATTTTGAAAATTTGCCAAAAATTCATGTTCAATTTACATGCGGATCTGACAATGCTAAATAACAGTATTTACTGCCCCAAGATGATATTTTGAAATATGGGTTAGCTTTACTAGAAAGTGTAATTTTAGGGTAGAGCTTTGCTCCTTTCAGGGCAAAATAGACAAGGCTGCCTGGACAAGAAAATAAAAATCCAAACAACCTCAAAGTTACAGTTTTGAAACAAGTTGGAAAATCCTTCTGCCTGACAAAGTTTGAGAAAAATCAAATTTTTTTATCCTACATAGGTATGGGTGACTGTTAGAGCAAGCTGCTCTTAAATCTTTGGCCATGCTCCCAAGACTGTAATGACCTGAAGTTAATTTCATAAGGGTTACATTGTAATAAGAATCAAAAAATGATATCTCTCCACTGCACTTCAAGGTATCCCATGAATTGTAGAGTGAGCAGGAGAGAAGCCTAACATAGTTTGTTTTTGAAAGTAGACTGTGTGTTCCTTTTAGGGTGTGTCAATTGTAAGCACAACCATTCTATTAAATGAATATAGGAAAATCATATTTTCTGTATGCCACATGATTTGGATGCTCTCATTAAATGGGCATCTTCATCTCAAGCAGAAAGCTGCAGGAACAACAGAAGCAAAAGCAATCTGGCAGAGTTCAACACATATGAACCAAACACTGACATAAGCAAATTCACTGGAGAATCTCATATTGACTCAATTTATCAGTCAACAGGGAAAGTGATTTTCAAAGTACAGCTCCCTTGGTCATGATGGTAGAGTGATTTCCAGCAAAGCTGACTCAACATACAAACCAAAAGGCCAAACCCAGCTGTCCCATTTTCAGGAAAAGAACTGTCCAGACACTGGCAAAGCAAAGGTGCACCTAGACCTGACAACCAGTCCTGAAATCAGGCTCATGCCGCTTATGGTCATCATCACAAAAACCAGCTGAAGCAGGAGCTGTCTTGCATGAAACCCAAACATAAGTGATGCACTCAGCTCTCAGCTTGTGTGCCACTTTTTGTTCTCTTCACATCTTGACATCATTGGCGATCAACTACTGAACGGATGCACTGCAATATGGAACCTATTTGTTAAGGTATCATGGTAGATGAATTTTACAAAAAATGTGAAAAATCTATTTTTTTGCTGCTCAGATTGAGACGACTGAAATAAATATTCTGCAATAAGAATGAGAGAAAAGATTTTTTACTTTTTAAGATAAAGAGAAAAACTATTTTTGAATCTTATTAATCCCTTACGGCACATTGACACCTCTAATTAAAATTCACTGGCAGTTGTAACGTGTAAGGCGAATTGCAGTGGGATATTTCATTTGTGCACGTGAACTGTTCTCGATCTGGTTGTTTCATTTCAAGTTAGCTTTTGCTCTTGTCAAATTTTCTATATGTCACGATTGAAAACGCAAGAAAATTTCTTGCCCATTTTCGTCTTCGAGGAAGCCAAAGAGGCGAAAATCTGGTGTAACCCACAGGCTCAGCCTTGAATAAGATCTTTGGCTCTGAATGATGGTGGTCACACTGTAACCAAGAAGAATGTTTGAAGGAACTCAAAGACACTAGTCCCGCCAATGAAGCTGAAGGACATACTACAACAAGTGCTACTCGCATGAAATTGCAGGAGAATAGACGCAATTTTGAAACTTCCACAATGAGAGAGTCGAGCGCAGATGTAAATGTAGACAACATAGACTTTTTGGGTTCATGAAGCATGGTTTCAAAAAATGTCTGGAGAACAAGAAGCCTAAACTTGAGCAACATAATACCAATGCCACTGATGAAATCGTTTTAGTAAAAGAAACCATGATAGTTAAAATACAAACCTGTATAAAGCTCTTGGCAGTTTGCCATTTCTCGGACAATTTCAATGCGATGAATTTCTGCACCAGAACAGTAGACATCTGTTTATTGTCATTGGTCATTGTTGTGGTAAACTGACCCACGCTGACATCTGTCAGTGCAGACTCCCTGAAGAAGTCTACGATAGTTAGACGAAACGTGTTGGGGAATAAACAAGTTT